ATATTGTGAAAAGTTTTTCATAAACATTTTATCTGGGTTCTTTTCTAAAAGGTTAATATATAAAAAACTATGCGGTTCATCAGTGGCAGTTTCATATATTTTATAAATTAATTTCTTGCTTTCGTGTAAATTATCGCTTCTAACAATTGCTGATAATTCATCTTGCAATATTTCAATTTCTTTGTAGTTTCTAACTTTATAATAAAACAAATGACTTATATTTACTCTAATAATTGGTGGCACGGTTGATGATTTTTGAAGACTGACAAGTGTTGATATTCCACTATGGCGACCTCTACAAAATAAAGAATTTAACAATTTGTTATTTCTTGTTATTGCTGGATTATCAGATACATCATCCAATATAACTAATATATTAAACAATTTCTTCGTTCCTTGTTTTTTCTGGTATTCAATTATTTTATTTTGAGTTTCTATAACTCTTTCTAAATCTTCAACATTGAACTCATCCCACCAACACGGTTCTTTATCAGTATCTACTTTCAAACCTTCTTTAATGTATTTCTTAACAGGCAACCAAATACTATCCAAATTTACAGATGGGGACCAGATAAAAATTCTTTCAAATGCTCCTCTATAAATATCAAGTATCATTGATACAAGTAGCGTCGATTTGCCAGAGCCTGACGGGCCCACAATCATAGCTCTCATCGGCAATTTAGGGACGACCTCGTGCTTGCTTTGCTTAAAGTCATATTTGATTTCATCAATTGGTTTTACATCAGGCATAATAAAATAATATTAAAGATATTTAGAAAATTATTTATAATTAATATTAAATGGAACATCGTTTTTTCATGATATGATGACGGCAAATATCAATGAAAAAATGGAACAGGTTTTCCATTGCTTCAATCAATAAGCATTGAAGATAATTAGTTTTGTGTCTTGCTCGCGTGTGCAATGAAAACCCCAAGTGCTGTGCCCCACCAATATTCTATTATGCATGAAAATAATAAGATCAAATAATTATTTTTTAATAATTATTTCATCTTATTATTTAATATGAAAAAGTGATAATAACTGACAATAAAATTAAAAAATGCTGTTTTTATTCATTAGAATTAATAAAATTAAGAATACAATATATCAAAAATAAAAATGTAAATATTAATATAAATGGGAAAAAAGAAAAACAAAAAGAATAAAACAGATACTACAGTTTCTTCAACAGATGAAGATAAAGAAGAAATTGTTAAAGAAACATCAGTTATTGAGTTTGAGTGTCCTATGTGTAAAAAAATATTACAAACGAAGAATGAATTAGAAATAAAAAATAAGGGTAACTGTAAATGCAGTTGTATACCAGTTGGTTTTAAAATAAGTAAAACAGATAAAAAAATGAATATTGATAAAACCAAGGACAGTATCAATCTAGAAACAGACGCGCATAATATTTCTATCAAATTTGGAAATGAGGCTACACACTCAGAAAATGGCGATAAAGAAACTCCGGAAACTATTAAACAAATGATGAAAATTTAGTACTTAAAGAGTAGATTTTACATTAAATCAATTTTATAATTAAATATTTAAATAAATAATTATATAAATAAATATATATAGAAATGTCTGAAGTTGAGAATGATTCTATTTCTGAACTATCAAAGAAAATAATGACAGTTAGTAAAAATGTTAAACTGTTGTACGAGATGATAAAAACTATTGACCAGAAACTTGATGCAAAGGCCAACGAACCAAAAGATAGCAATGAAGAGAAGGAAAAGATTGACAAAATCTTTGAAAAGAAAGGGATAGGCAGACCCAGCGGTGATTATGACACGAAGCGTAAAAAATATTGTGATATGTTAAATAAGGGACAAATCAAAAGTCCAAAAGAACAAACATTAGAATACTATAAGATTATTAAGGAAGATGATAAATATGTATATTTCTAAAACATTATCTAAATCATTCTAATAAACAATATGAATTTATTAGAATTATTTAGTGGAACTGGAAGTGTAGGAACCATAGCAAAGTCGCTTGGATTTAATGTCATCTCATTAGACTTCAAAAATGCTGATATTAATTGTGATATTTTGGAATGGGATTATAAACAATTTGACAGAAACCATTTTGATTTTATTTGGAGTAGTCCCCCATGCACTGAATACAGCATAGCAAAAACTAGGGGAATTAGGAATATCGAATATGCAAATAGTATTGTCTTAAAAACTATTGAGATTATCAAATATTTCAATCCTAAATATTTTGTAATCGAAAATCCACAAACTGGATTATTAAAACATCAGGAGTTTATGAATGAGTTTGATTTTAAAGATGTTGATTATTGCAAATATGGATTTAATTACAGAAAACGCACTAGACTTTGGAATAACATTACGAATTGGACACCTAGAGATTTATGTAATAGAGATTGTGGAAAAATAAGGAATAATAAACATATTGAAACTGCGCAACGACTGCCATCAAAAACTAAAGCAGAATGGGGAGATAATTATGTAATACATAAGCAGGAAGATTTATACAAAATACCTGCTGAATTGATTTGTGAGATTTTGACGAGTTTGGTGGATTAAAGAAACGAGTTTGGGATTGTTGTTGAAACTTCCCAAAATGTCGGTCAGGGTGCTTCCCAATTGGTGGGCAGGGTGCTTCCCAGATGGTGGGCAGGGTGCTTCCCAAATGTCGGTCAGGGTGCTTCCCAATTGGTGGGCAGGGTGCTTCCCAAATGGTGGGCAGGGTGCTTCCCAAATGGTGGGCAGGGTGCTTCCCAGATGGTGGGCAGGGTGCTTCCCAGATGGTGGGCAGGGTGCTTCCCAGATGGTGGGCAGGGTGCTTCCCAAATGGTGGGCAGGCAAGCAGGGTGCTTCCCAAATGGTGGGCAGGGTGCTTCCCAAATGGTGGGCAGGGTGCTTCCCAAATGGTGGGCAGGCAAGCAGGGTGCTTCCCAAATGGTGGGCAGGGTGCTTCCCAAATGGGTGGGGAGCAGGGTGCTTCCCAAATGGTGGGCAGGGTGCTTCCCAAAAACTTGGGTCGGAGGAACACATGATCATTTATGATTAAATTTAACCCATAAACCTTACAATAAAAAAACATTGTAAGATTTATGTTTTGAAATTATGGGGATTTTGGGATTTGGGATTTTGGGAAAATATATTTTGGGAATTTGGGATTTTTAAGATGGTCTGGTCTTAAAGACATGCCACCTATCAATAGTAGCATGGAGATGACTGACAAAATGCAAAAATGTAGGCGATGTGAAAACACTTATCCCCCTGACCTATTTAATGTTAGAGTGCATATTTGTGATTACTGCCGAGAACAAAGTAAAATTGATAGGAAGGAAAAGAAAAAAGAATATAATAAAGTGCGTAATCAGATTGAAATAGAATGTGACATTTGCCAGTGTAAAGTGAGGAAATCTGCAATGTCCAAGCATTTGAAAACACAGAAGCATATTGAGAATGAGAATAAAGTAAAAACAACAGTTGAGGAAGAAAAACCTAATGAAATTGAAAATTCAAAACCTCCAGTAGCACCAGAGGTCAAAAAGGAAATGGAGGAAGTGAAGGACAAAGTTTTTCAAATTGTAGGTGAATTACCCTTTCTGGAAAATTATTTCATTTCAGCATATTCCGTGAGGAATTCTGCAATTATTCAAATTATGAAATAATATGATTTAAATTTTAACCATGAACTTTACAATAAGAATATTGTAAAATTTATGATTTATATTTCTTCGGAAAATGATAATTTTGTAAAATAATATTTTTGAAAATTTAGAAAAATATTTACAAAATTTATGTATCAAATCTTGAGTTGAGGTTCTGTTATGAATTGATGAAAAAATATTATGTGAATTGGTCGGTTGAGGGGATTTTATCTAACTGGGGCCTGGCCTTTGGTAGGTCAAAGAACCCTGGCCCAGCCAAGTTGGTTTAGTATGGCACAACCCAAAGCACACCCGAAAACACAAAATGTCATTTTGAGTTTGGAGTGTGTCCAAAGTTGCCGGAATACACATCCCCTCATCAGGGATCCTTACATTATACACCTGAACATTGCCTTGTAACTGGTGGTGTCCCTTTACTTTGGTGGAAAAGGCCATGTTTCAATGGGCAAAATGTATCTTTTAAGGAGCCCTGCTCTTTCAACCGCAAAAACAATGCAAACAGCATCTATCTATATAGTAAACCTCGGTCGCCTTTCGAAGCTCCTGGGTCCACATGACGCTGCTAAAGTTTCAGCCTGCCCCGAAGCAAGCCCCTTGGTCTGCCCGAACCAAAGTTGGGGACCTGGCGACCCCCGCTGCAAAGTCAAGGGATTAGAAGCCGTATTCGGGCCTTGCTGAAACACCACCCGGCCTAAAGGAAACGCATTCTAACTTGGCCAATTGGGAAGATCGCGGCCAAGACAAAAACACGGAAACACACACGTGCAAACACAGAATCACGTTTAGTGTTTCCACCTTCCACTGAGTCGCTCAAGTAAACCGGGCAAAATCATATGCGTGCCTTTGCACATATGCTCGAGTGAAAGCCACCAAAAAGTAGCCAAAATCATTGTATACCACCCAAATGGTCCTCCCAGAAAGTGACTAAAGTTCAGGATCTCAGGAAGTGAAATGAAGTGAAATGCCCATGGAAGAAAGCCGGACAAGTCGCACTCAGGCGGCAACTTTGCAATCCGAACGAATGTGTCTTGAATTCCCCGCTGGACTAGAAAATGACCCTCAGCCCGGTAAACAAATGTCTCACTAAAAGGAATTGGACACCCCAAATCTCAAAATGAGTGTGTATTCATTCGGGGTGTTTTTCAGTACACATAGCTGTTGTCAGGTTTCGCAAATGCCACCTTTCGCTATCTTTCTTTTCTTGCTCACAGGTCCAAACAAGATTGGAAGGGGTTCAGAATGCAGCTCGCCTTTTCAACTTTAGAAGGCAAGCTGAAAGCAAAATCGGGGGGCCCACCAACAATTCCCGCAGTCCAAAGCAAATCCCGTCACTCCAGACCTGGGAGTTGCGAGGAACACCATCTCTTGCCTTGGAAAGGCAGCGCTTCCAATTTGGCACGTAAGCAAAAACTTTTCGCTTCCGATCGAGCGGACTGGCCAAAACAAATACCCAAACTTGCTTGGAAACTCAGGGCTTGAGTTGCTAAAAAATAGATTTAGTCTTCTATTTGGTTAAGACACCCGAAAAAATAGCAAATAAAAAAAAAATCCAGTAGTGATAAATTCCTTTTAAAACCAACATGAGAAAAACATGTTCTTAAGCAAATGGAAGTAGTGGGGTATGCATTATGACCTATTGACACAACCCTTCTGACTACTGACCGTCTCAAAGTCTTCTGCGAGTATGGCTGGGAGCTGCCGTGGGTGTGTCTCAAAATAGGGGGACACCTAACATGTGCGGTTTCCTTGATATAGGTTTCCCTTCAAAGCCATCCAAAAAGGGCACCCTCCCACCAGTGAACATGGAACCTGACGTTGCGGGGGGAGACCATTTCCCCAACGTCTGACTCGATAGGAAGGTTCAATTGAGGCATGGTTCCATGTTTCTTGCTGGGAGGCTAGCCCTAAAAAAGAAAAGGATCACAAACCCCCAAGCTGCTGAGTTTCTGCGGCTTGTCTGCTGCATCCGCCACCTTCACCGGGACGCAGCGCACCCGCCCCATGCCGGCGACATCGGAAGCGGCGCTGAAAGCCCGCGAGGCGGCTTGGAGGCAGGTCTTGAGCTGCCTGAGCTCACAACACTTCGTGACTGTCTTGTTTGTGACCTACAGACGGACGACATGTATTTCGCACCAGATTAAAACCATGATTGAAACCATTGTTTGGTGGTATTTGCAGTGGGAATCATCATTCCAGGGTTTCTTAGGTGGTGCAGGCTTTCGTCCATCCAACGCATGTAAGTGTTTGTTGACCCTGTCTTGGGTGAGGGTCTCTTGTCTAATATTGGTCTGGTAGCAAAACAACTTTGCACTTTGCAGCCCCCTACACACATGAGCACAGCAGAAAGCATAAGCAGCTA